GGTTTCCAGAAATCTTGACCTGCACCAAAAGTGGGCATTGCGTACCTAAAGGAGAAGTTTGGTTTCATTGGTGTGAATATTTGTTTAGTTATAGAGAAAACTCTCCTTGTTTTTTTAATGAAACTGAACAACTTACAAGGGGCAAAAACTTTACCTTCGATTTTCTCAAAACAGCATTTTTCGGGATAGCCCACTTGTCCTTAAAAGCGACCATATAGACCATTGGTTCTCGTAATTCAAGAAAAACATTTTTTTAACTCTATAGGAGATAAGAAATATTGTTTAAAGGTTACAGGGATGTAAAGATTAGATTTTGAAAATAAAAGAAAAGGAAAAAACAAACCAATGATTTCATGACTTTCCTTATAAGATCTTTTAAATTGGTGCATTTTGCATTTATAGGTGGTTTTATAAAAGCCATTTCTGTTTTCAAAAATAAGTTTCTTCTTTGTGAATTTTATGTCAAACAAATTCCTTTGGAATGAATTATACCTGTTCCAAATTACCACATTCTAGTACAAATTTTGTGCGAGATATTTAGAAAAGAAATTGTACAGTTTTTTTTTTGATCACACTGTACTTATAAAAAAAAAATCTTGATCCAGTAACAAAAAGGGTTTTCTCTTTGGGCCCTAAACTGCTCTTTGCATGCATACACATGATCACTAAAATAAGTGACTTACAATTACCTAGCCTACAAATTGCTCATTTTGAGATAGCGACACCACCCTGCCTCTACATTTCAATGTAAGCTTGTAGATTTCATCCCCCAACTGTCTAGACACCTCCACATGAGTCTCGAAAATTACTCACCCCATCTCTTGAATCGTGTTTTTTTGCATATATATGTTAAAGTATGGTGTTGAGGAAAGTATATAAACTTTAATGTTCTAGGTAGATCTACAAGGTGTAAATCCCCTAAATTTGTTTACCTGCTTTAGGCTAACATAAAAGGAAAAAAAACGTGTCTGAACCTTAGTTTGCAATGACCTTCATGAAAGGGCTTTTAGATTCTGTTGGTCATCCAACTTTTAGACCCGTGTGCAAAGATCGGAGAGAAGATTAAACGGAGCCACTTCATTTTATCTTGTTATATCCACGGTGAGACAAAAGTGAACAAGCTATAGCAATGACAAACTGGAAAGGTCCTAGTCCTACAGGTACTTCCTTACTTCTATTAATTTGAATCATGTACAAATATTTACCTCAACTTAAATTCTGGCCAGGGTTCAGGGTTTCTGGAGAGGGAGGGAGAGAGAGAGTGGGAGAGAAATAGAGAGTGGGAGAGGGGGAGGGAGGGAGAGAGAGAGAGAGAGAGAGAGA